TACATCATATATATATATATATATATATCAAGGTGTACATAAAAAGAGAATAAAAAAACAAACCCCATGTGTATTTGCCTTGACTTTTTCAAATGTGAGGTTATGATCTCATTGATATGTCATTCGAAGTAAGCATGTGACGTGCATGGACATGTGGAATAGTAAAGAAGAATCTATTGTTTCCGGACCGTTGTATGCAGCGGATGTGTTTCATCCTTATATAATTTTCTATTATCATACATTTCCGCCTTTGTTTTTCGATTTTATATTATCAATTTTCGATTTATGTTAGTACTTTTATTCATTTTTGCATCTGACCTGTGCTGATTCAGTCAGGGTTGTCATATAAAGAAGAAGAAACATCTATTCTGAATTTCAAGAGCGAAAATATTTAATAGAATATAATTTGATAATGTCTACGTATCGTCTAATCTCATGGGTAAAATTTGTTACTTGTAAGAATGCACAATCAACATGTATTTATCTCCAGTCAACATTGATTGACAGTAACATTATTATTGTAATGTTCTATTCAACAATGTAACTAGTATATAAAATGTTATATTAAACTCATACCACTGTAGAGAGAAAGTTATAATAATAATATAATAATTATTAGTTAATGTTATTGGATTCTCATTCCTTTAAAATTAAGTCCTTGAGATATTAAAATGGTAAAATATTTAAAATGAATATATTTTCAAGATATGAATTTACAAGAAGTCTATAAAACTTTGAAAAAAATTTAATTTATTTTATAGGGTGCAAACTCCCATGGTCAGTTAGGACAAGGTTTATTATCTGAGCAATATATTCTACCTCAAGAAATTGATTTATTTGGATGTTCTCTAAGACCAGAAGCTATAAAAAAAATTATTGGTGGTGCTGGACACACATTGATTTTGGATGCAGATGGTCATGTTTATTCTTGTGGATTGAACAATAAAGGACAAACTGGAAATGCTAATGCTGAACAGGGAAACATTCTAACATTTCAGAGGATATGTGCTCTTGAACATGAAGTAGTGATTGATATCTGTTGTGGATGGAATAGTTCTGCAGCATTAACAAAGGATGGCGAATTATATGTATGGGGTTCCAATCGTTATGGACAATTGGGTATAGATGCTTCAATTTTTCCTTCAATATCGCATCCTCGCAAAATATCAATCAGTGAAAGAATAAAGAATGTTTCAATGGGTCTGCGACACACTGCTATAGTAACAGAAAGTCGTGAGCTTTATGTTTGTGGAGCAAATAATAGAGGACAATTGGGTTTGGTTAATCCAGATATCATAAAGTCTTGTGTGCTTTTAGATTCATTCGTGAAAGGTATGCAAAACATTGTTGTATTGTTGTATTGCTAAGAAAAAAATGAGAAAATTTTCATTTAATTAAAATACAGGTGAATAGTTCCAGAATGGACGATGCAAGGAAATGTTGAAAATGTTATCTGCGGTCAATATCATACTATTGTTATAACAAAAGGAGAAACGTATAATATATACGTTTTCGGTGACAACAAGCACGGACAATTGGGATTATTTTCTAAGACATTCTCTGAAACACGGATATTGCAACCCACATGCATTCCACTGTCCAACATAGAGCATGATACTCCAATCCAAATTCACACAGGTTGGAGTCACGTAAATATTTTGAACAGTAAGTAAACTGAATTTATTTATTTTTTGCATATAATCAAATTATTCGTGTATATATTAAAAACATGCTACATATAATTTCAGATGGTACTATTTTTTCATGGGGAAGAAATGATTACGGACAGTTGGGTCGTTCTTTATCAGAACCACAAAATAAAATAGACACAGAAGAAAATGTTCAATATATTGAGCACATCCCGAAAATTGTTCAACTCTCAGTTGGATCAGAGCACAATGTTGCTTTAAC